TAGCCACCCACATGATCCATATCGGCTGAGAATGAAAATTAAGCATTGATTTATAAAATGGGTGGCTACATGCATCTGATCTTATATTGGTTATGAAAGAGAATTGAGCATTGTATTATAAAGGATGCATATACCTTTTCTAACACAACACAATTTAAATTTGTGAGGGCAACAAATATCATAAAAAAATATACAATTAAATGTGCCCGAACAAGAACAAATTCAAGATAAGTGACCCCTCAAAGGTTTTCTTGTCAGGTGGCCAAAACGGAGAATATTATGATACATACCTTTAATGGATGTTACACAACCTCTCATTAGAATCACCTTATTCCAACTTAACTCTTTTCTTCTACATCACATGTGAACGATGAATATGGTTTGTATCCTTTATAAGTAAAATGGACACATTTCATTCCAAACATCCTATTATATATCGTAGCCTCACCTCATGCCCTGTGATGGGAGCCTAACGACTGAGATACGAAATTCAATATAAGATGTCCAAGGTTCAAACTTTGCAAGTGGTAAAATGTTGTTAATGCTCTGCTAGTTACTCCCACGTGATGAGCCATAAAGTGATGAGCCATAAAGCGGATTTGACATGGGCCACCAAGAAAATGTAGGGTTTTTTTTTTATGGTAGTCTCACTATAGTGTCCCTCCCAAAATTTTGGAGGTGTCCGTTATGTAGAATGTATTTTGGAAGATTACCAACATGGTGTTGTACAAATAACTTGAAACTTATTAAAGAACTTTGGATTGGGTGACCCAACGTGCAATTTGGGTCTAGGTGGATTGGTAACCGGCCGAATCTTTTTTTATTTTTTTATTTTTTATTTTTATTTTTTGAGGCTTTGTATATCTTAATGGTTTGATTATTGATATTCTTCAATGTGGTTATTTGTGCCTGAGTGCTGTGCTACCTCCAGGCTCATTTTGGTACTCTGGCCTTCAAAACCTTTTTGGATTTGGGCCTCGGCTTTCTCAGGCTTTTTGCTCTACATATCATCGCACATCCAGACCCAACAATTTCTCTAGCCAGATATCCTAGGATCCTATTTAACTAGTGTCACAATCAAATACATTTGGAGGAAGATCCGACAATATCATTTGTAACATGATGTTGACCATAAATCTGGAAAAAAATCTCTCAAACTTTCGACCTTAAAAAATAAAATAAAATTTGTAAACATGTGGATGTAATGAAGTCGGATTTCACTATCACTTACTTTTTTGTTTTTGTTTGGTCGTGTAATGTAACCCAAGATGTCACCACTATGGGTCATGTCCTTCAACCATTAAAATGAATGGGTGGTCCATTGACTCCGTTCTTTATGGCCATTTGGGTGATGGGTCCTCTCCTTCCGACCTTCCCTTCCGTCAGTATTAACAAACATTGGACTTAACAGTGGATTTGTTGATCAAAACATTACGGTTACAGCCGTGGTTCATGAGTACCTATCATGAATGACTATTATAGGCCCATGACAATAACCCATCATTTATTCATTAAAAAACGAAATAATCGAACCAATATACTTTTTTTTATAGTAATTACTTCATTTCTTTTTAATCAACACACCGTTTTAAGTTATCTAGTTCTCAGCCTCCGTGATGGAAGAATAGTTGTTACGGAGTGAAATTTCACATATAAAATCCAAGGTTCAAATCCTAACACTGAAAATATTGTTAGTGTTTCACGATTAATCTTCTATATGGGTCTTGCTATCAACCGCAATGATGTTGTTTATCATTTTTTTTTTTTTTGTTATTTAGTTCTCTTGAATTTAAGGTTATCTTTTAAACCAAACCACTAAGGATCGAACTAAATCAATAAATACAACAATATAAAAAAACAAGCCCAAATTGTAGCTGAACTTCAACCAACGACATGTCATTAATATCACTTTATGAAGCGTCACCCCGTATACATAATAGTAATACATGCAATGTTTTCATGAATTCATTATGTACCATGCATGTTCCTAACAGTTGGCCTCTTTAAGCCATATCAATTTGACTTTATAGCTTACCATAGAGTATGGTGATATTACCATAGTTTTATTAAAGATGGTTGGAATTGGAATATGGATCCGAAAGTCCAGTTATTTGGATCTTTTTTATATTTTTAAAGGATTTTTAATAATGATTTTAATATATTTTTTAAAAATAAATTAATCATTACAATATAATTATCTTTTTATTAATTATCATGATATATTATACCCCTCATGTTTATTTTATATTTTACTTTAAATAAAACTAATCATTACATAATAAAATGATTCAATATAAAGATTTGTTTATATAAAAAAAAAAGTATCATTTTTATAACAAAAGTATAAAAATAAAAATATATTTATTTTTTTCAAATCTATAAAATAAAATATTTTAAATAAAAAAATTGAATTATTTTTTCTGTTTTTATATACAATTTATTAAAATCATTTTTATATGAAAGTATAATAATAAGTGACTTCAAATACGATATAATAATAATGATAAAATAATTTTTCAATGTAATACATAACAAAATAATTCAAATATATTTTCGTACATAAAATTCTAGAGGAACAATTAGATTTTTTGGTGTGGGTGTCTTCGCTTGATCGGACCACGGAAGCCACTCATTCGCCGCCACCGTCGGACAACTCCAACTGCCAACTCACCACCTTTCTTTTCCTCATTCTCTCTTTATTTTCCCTACAGCTTCTAGCGGTGGGAAGAATGTGATTTTTTGTGTATGTGTAAATTTTCATTTCAGATTGGTATATATATATATATATATATATATATATATATATATATATATATATATATATATATATATATATATATATATATATATAGAGAGAGAGAGAGAGAGAGAGGAAACAATGGTCGTTGTATATATATTTACCGCTACTACATTTTCTGTTAATAATATTTAGTTTTCATTTAAATATTTAATATCATTTTATTTTTATTTATTGGCTTGTAAAAATATTAAAATATATTGAAAATGGTTACACGTTGTATTATTATTTGATTATAAAAAATATATATATAATAAATAAAAAGTTGATATTAATTAAATGATAGGTAGCAGTTTCCAAAAAAAAGTTTTTAGTAATGATAGAAGCTATTGATATTATAAATACACGAAAATTTATACCTAAAAAATCATTAATGATGGATCCCTAAAAAAATATGAGATTCAATTAGTAGGACCATCCAAAAGTTTATATTATATTATATTATTGGTCATTTTATAGTCACGTTGTATACTATTCTATTTTATCCTTTATTTTTTTTAACATTATCATATGATAATATTCTTTTGCCTCTTTTGTATTCCTATTTTATTATAACTTAATGGTTATTTACTTTATTATTCGGGACAAGTTAAATGTCAAATAAGTCACTTCTATTAAATTTTAAAGGTTCACCGGTTACTAAGCCTACATGGCTGGCTAATTTGTACTACTGTGGCCATGTCATATTTTTTTACTTTGGGAAAATATTAGTGTAGCACAATCAACTATTGTTATTTACCACATTTCGCCACTAAATTATTTTTTGCACTATAGGTTATTAAACTTACAAGTTACATTATACTTTTTTCTATTTAATTTGTATTATTAACCAAAAATACATGTCACATATTCAACCCATCTCTCTATCCCTCTCACATACAGGACTATACTTCGGAAATTTTTAAAATCATTTTTTGGAAAAACGAGTTCTAGAAATCGGAACCTGGGTCCGACAATCGATCAAGGCATCGACACCAACATTGAGCTGAATTAGGTTTTGGATTACAAATTTAACGTAGACGATATCGAGTTAAATCATCCCTATAGTTGTTAAATCGGAACTAAAATCGGAGCGTACAAGAGTTAATGTGAAGAGTAGTGGTGTGTTGTTAACGAAGAGAAAATACAACTCCAACATCATCTACATCAAATGTGTAATCCATAACCTGACTCCGCTCAATCTGATGTTGATGCCCTGATCTGATTGTTGAACCTAGGTTCTAATTTGTAGAACTCGCTTTTTTAATTTTTTTAAAAATTTCCATGGTCCTGTATGTGAGAGAGATTGGGAGAGATAGAAATATTGATTGAATAGGTGAACCATATTTTTGGTTAATAATACAAGTTAAATATAAAATAGTATAAAAATGGTGGATGTGTAACGCCCCGATTCTTAGGTATTGTTTAAATAATATTTATTCTGTTAAGCTCTACTCGACGAATTGGTTGACCTACTCGTCGTGTAGCAGCGGGGTGGGATCGCGTGTTAAGTGACCTACTCGACGAGTCCATATTGGGACTCGGCGAGTAGGAGCTGGCATATGAAACCCTAAATCTCGGGGTTTGCACCTATATTTAAAGGAGCCTCAGCCTCCTTTGGCCTCTTTGTAGTCTTTGAGAGCCCCTTAAAACCCTAATACACGTGTGTGTGTGTGTGCCCATTGTGTGTTTGAAGCTTGAAAAGAGGATCTTTAGAGAGATAAGGCTTGGAGGAGAAGGAGATTGGAGCAAGTAGAGTGTAGGAATCAACTCTTATCTCAGTTATCATCTTCTGTAGGTAACCACATTGCCTTTTCCATGTGAATCTCTTCTATTGGTTGAGTTTTAGGGTTTTTGGTGAGATAATAAGTTTGTAAGATTAGTTGTGGGCTAGATCTGAGGTTGTAACTTCATATCTGGACCCTCCTTGGATTCTAGAACCATAAAGTTTTAGTTTCACTACAAGAAAAATAGCCTTTTACGACGCGCAAACCACGACACTCATTGATTTATGTTACGCAAAAAAGAGTGACATTAAAAAAGTGTTATTTCTTAAAAAAAAAATTAAGGATTTAAGTCACGCATTATTGTGTGCCCTTAAATTAGTGTCTATTGTAAAAAAAAATAAAAAACACGGAGGGCACTTTATCTAAAACGTGCATCCTCTATGAATGTCGCTTTTATATTTTATTTTAAGAAGCGCGCATCTCCCTTTAGAGGGAAAATGAAATCCCCAAATTTTTTAAACCCCCGCTTCTTCTCCCTCGTCTCCACCCCGACCCTTACCCACATCCACCGCCTCCAATCCTCGTTGCCTCCTCTGGCCTCAGACTGCATGTATTGTTCATCTTAAACAAAAACGTAAGGGATTTAGGGTTTTTTCAAAAGGATCGCTACATCTGCTCACTTCTTCTCACCTCTTACCTCCGGAGACCTCAACTCAACTCTTCCTACTGGCGACCTCGAGTTCATCTCACCTTACCGAGGTGAGACCTCTTACCTCCGACTCCTCATGCTCACAAGAATATGATTTAGGGCTTGTTACATTATACCTATGTCAAACTTACAAGGAGATTAAGGGCTTTGCGACTTAATCGGACGTGGCGGTGCTGAATCTTCCGATAACGTTGTCGGAGGTGGTGTTGGTTGGTTACTTAGATTCTGGTGATGATGAAGATGACGAATTCGATGATGTGGAGATTCCGGTGGATCATCCGGTGCCAGACTATAACATCATGATCGAGGCGCTTCTGTCTAGTACAATCAACGATCTGCACGAAATCACAAAAAGGATGGTCGCTACCGGCTATGGAAAAGAATGCTCGCTTGCTTACAGCACCTGCTGGAGGGAGTTTCTGGAAGAAAGCCTCTCGAGATTAGGTTTTTTAGGGTTACATAATTCGAGTAAACCTCTAGAAGACGCCGACAACGATGTTGAAATCAAGAAATGGGTCAAAGCAATTAACATGGATCTTCGAGTTTTTTACCCTAGCTTGCGACGCCTTTGCGAATGATATACTCCAAATCTTCAGATGTAGCCGTTGTGGTGCCAGACTTCAGATGTTGCTGAGAAATACACTGGTGCTAAATCAGAGGTACTTCAATTCTCGATTGTTTTTGCTTTGTGTTTTATTTTATTTTATTTTTTTCTGCCTGATGCAGATCATAGTTTGAAAACTTCAATTTGCCTTATGAAACTGAGCTAAATTAGTCAAGCTTAAAAAACTATGATTCCATTTTGAAAATGTGGATATTCATATTACGAAGTACTCTTACGTTCTCAAGATTATGGTTATGTGTTATCATGCATAGTAACATTCAGGACTTATAGATCGTTTTAGCTGAAGAGGACTCTTGTTTGAGTCCATAATAAAGTGACATCAGTAGTAACTTTTATTGAGTACCAGTTGAGTTATGTGTTTTTACAAGTAAAGCATTAAGCATGTGATTTATGTATCTCTACAATTGCATGCTGTCAACTTGACTGCTTTATGATGATTAAGATATGCTGCTTTCCTTTCCACACGGTTCAACAAAAAACCGTGTTGGACCATCTTTAAACTATGTGCTGGACGTGTTGCAGTATTTAAGTTTCACACACAAAAGTTATACTACGTGTTTTCTTTACCACTGAAAATAAACAAAAATCATCCGTGTTTCTCTTATTTATGTGTATAAATTATAACTAATGTTAATAAAGTAATATTTCTATTTCTAATTATAACAAGAATCATGTGATTCTTGATGATGATGAAGTTGTAGGTCTTAACTTAAATCTTGGAGGCCAAGTGTACCCTATAACAGAAGACGATTTGGAAATATGGGAAGGGAAGAGTGGCAAAAGACAATTTTGTCAGCAGTGCAGCAGGTCAGTTTCTTGTTTGTTAGAAACACTGATATTTTTTTATTCTTTTTCTTCTTTTATTGTGGGCGTGTTTACTAAATTACTCGGTTTACTTAATTACTTATGAATATGCGTGTTCTGATCATGTTTTTATCCACATCAACTACATGATCAATTAACAAATTAATAAATTCTCTATTAGTGGTTTGTTTTGATTTGATTTAGACCTAAAATGTTATATATGGAGAGGGTTTTGATTTACTTTTCTTCATGACAAAATTATAGTTTTGCTTCCTGTAATTTGCAAGAAATGGTATGGGAGCACAACTATGGAAATCTTTATTTATTTTTTCCTTCTGGTTTTAGTTTCTTGCATATTTGGTTCTCGTGATACATTTTGTTACTAAAGTGATATGAAAATGCTAAAACCCACAACCAGGTATCCCTGAAACCAATTATATGTGTTGTGTGCATCTGTATCATATTTACATCATTCAATTTGATCAGAGGAATATTTGCAGGGAACATATTTGATATGGTTTCTGCACAGGTATGTCATCCCTCCTGTACATAAGTTCATTAGAACACTCATTACTAGACAAATACATAAGGCATATAAAAGAGAGAACTACCCTTGTCATACACTTGTACTTATATATCTAATTAATAATCATTCTTGAATATAATAATTTTTTTTTTTGTTTTTAATCATATTAGATGATGTTATTTAGTGGGAAAATTAAGGAACAAAGGATGGGCGGATGTAGCCAAATAAGCCTATGCTCATGACTTCATTTCTTTTCTACCTAAAGGCTATAATCGGGCCATTAGCAGTCAATAGTCTACTTAATGAGTCAATGAAATCTCATTCTTTAAAATTGCCTCTAACATTGTCATTCCAGGTTTGTGGCCTTCTGTTAAATGTCTTTTTAAATTAAGTAAAGTGTCCACTTTTAATGATATTGCACAAAATTACAGTAATACCCTCCTGGAGTAAAATGGACATGGCCATGACCAAGAACATTGTGTAGAGCTTCTGAAATATAAGTTGTGACTTTTTACCAGAAATTCACTATGGTGATGATTATTTACCAAAAACACCCCTGAATATGGCCAAGCTTTCCTTTTAACCTTCCTTCTATATATCCAGAAAAAAAAAATCATTTAACAGGTTGAAGACTGTAGAACTTGTGAAATATAAGTTACTAATTAATCATGAATCACTGCTAACATCAATTACTTATTTAGGAGATTAAATTTGGGGACCCCAGTTCGTTTACCCTAATTATAAAAGGCGATTTCTCGTAAAAGTTCTACGAAAATCCATACTCGCAACTCAGGTCAGTCGATCTTTTCTTCCATCGATTCATAGTACAATTATAGGCATCAGATTTCATCGACTTGCAATGATTTACCAATTTGTAATTTGTACAATCAGAGTCGACTTATGATTGCTAAGTATACTGTTTTTTTTCCGTCAAATTCCTAGATTGAGGTTGAGACGGGATGTTTGGAGGTGGTTGTCCCGTGAATGGGCCTGACACAATATTACAATAGATCACATTTAAATCAATAATAACAGTAACTTAACAGGTTTGGTTCTATATCTTTTTCTTCATTTTTTTTATTAAAATACCAAAATACCCATGTTTTATATATACCGAAACAAAAGAAAAAAGAGTGTACCAGAAGGCATTGATGATCCATATGGTGGCATTGCTAAAGGATGAGAAGGTTGAGGGGGAATCCATGCTTGTTGTATGCCTGATGGAGGAGGTCCCATGTTTGGTAACGCATTTTGCAATGGAGCCATTGACAAGAACATCTACCAAATAGGATTATAAATTACTTGTGTCATTAATAAATGGAATGGAATGATGGTTTTTCATATCTAAGTGATAAAGGGTAAAACAATAGAATAATGACATATGCTTACTAGCTAACAAATAATAGAAAAATATAGCACGTGTTCAGGAGATGGATGCCTTGTAGTCAAATACAAATCACTCATTGCAAGCTGAACTCAGAGAACGCAGTGAACAATACAATCAACTTTGGGTTAGTTGCCAGAGACAGGTTGCTTTTCAGTCAATGCATGGAATGCCAGCTTTCTTTTCACCTGGACAACTGGAGGACATGTTGTTGCTATTACTGGAGATGGAACAAATGATGCCCCTACTCTACATGAGGTAATAATTAAAGATTTTTTTATGATCATTTCTTTATTTTTACTGTAATTTATTTATATGTTTTTTATTTTGAAATTGAAATTGTAGGCTGATATCTAAGGAACTAAAGTTGCAAAAGAAAGCAGTGACATCTAAGGAACAAATGATGCCAGCTTTCATTCACTTTGTATTGTCCCCCTTAATGTAGTCCGGGTCTCTCTCTCTCTCTCTATCTCTCTCACACTCTCTCTCTCTACTTAGTTAAATATAATTATATCTTATCTTGTTACTATAATATGTTTTTCCATTGACATGGTAGCTATTAAGAAACCTCGAATAACTGTTGTTGAACATCAAGCTTCAGTTCATGTCATTTATATATCTTTTAAAAGGTATAAAGGAAAAACACAATATTGTTTAATGCTTCATAATTACATGTTTATATTATCAAATTATTTAAACACCACACATATTTTTATATACATTGGTTAAAGATATTTCTATATAAAGTTTTAAGTGTATAACATGTTTGTATCAGAGAGAGTAAATAGAAGCTTGAGGATTTATTACAGAAGTGTATAACATGTTTGTATCAGAGAGAGTGAACATCAATCTTCATCTCATGTAAATTGCATGTATTTTTATTTTTTATTTTTATTTATGTTTGTAAATATCTAAATTTCTCAATTGTTCAGGATTGAAACGTTGAGGTGGAATCTGGTGAAAGGATGTATTTTCCAGCTCTTAATGTTGGTCTAGATAAACCTTCTACACTAGTATCAATTCAATATCACCACTTTGTTAAAAAGACTAAAATAGTACCCCCTATGTTGCCATCTGAAACATGTGTATTGTTTTGTGTAGTCGTTCTGGATGGATGGGCAAACTAGTAATTTACTGTTGTTATTATGAAGGTATGATGTTGCTATTATGAAGGTATGCCACTCCGGTTGTCTTTTTCACATAAGTGACAAGGAGCTGTTGTATCTATTCAGACTAAAGAAATGGTTGCCAGAGATGAGTTCAGAAGAAGAAGAAGAAGAAACAAGGCTGCAACTATAGTCAAGGTACTATGGATGAATTATGTTTGTAAAGTATTTAAGAAAATGATTAGAACAAGGGTGAATTTGTAAATATTAGTTAGCTACTTGCAGGTTGATCTTGAATAAGCAAAGGGGCAATGGATTGTATTTTTTGTATCTAATTATTTTGTAAATTTTTGTTACAAATTCTATTGATTTGTTTTATCTTTCCATGGAACGATTATTTGTATGACATTAAATTTTATGCAATGGATTGTATTTTTCGTATATGATATTTTATTTTCTATTACGAGACATTAAATACAAATTTAATTTGAAAATTGGTAAATCTATAAATAACATTTTTTAAAAACATTTAAAATTACGATACGCAAAAATGTGTGTCATCTTCATTTATGACATGGCCTTTTTTGACAAGGGCTTTCTTGATACACATTGCGTGTCATTAACACACGCGTCGTAAGGTTACGACACGCGAATGCGTGTCGTCTTCCTTTATGACAGGGCTTTACTTGATACGCATTGCGTGTAGTAAACGCGCGTCATAAATGAGCATCGTAAACGCACGTCGTAAATAGACGACGCGCAAAAGCGCGTCGTCTCTTTTTATGACAACGCCTTCCTTGACGCGCATTTGCGCATCGTCTGAGCCTTTTACGACGTGCAATGAGCATCGTAAAAGGTTGTTTTCTAATGTTTTGGTCATTATTAAGGTCCCTCTTGAGCATGGAGTTCCATTAAGAACTTAAAATAGGCATTTAGAGCCTTTATAGCCATGCATGCACGTAAAGTTTGCAACTTTACATGATAAGCATGCCCTAGAAGCTTGGATTTGTGATTTGGAACCGTTGCATGGCTCAAAACAAGTCTGTATGAAAAGTGGACTAAATGAACTCGGTGAGTCGCAAGGTTGACTCGGCGAGTCACATGAAGATGGTCGTGAACTCAATGAGTTGGAT